CTTGCATCCATTGGAATTACATCACATAAAACTTCATCTTTATATTTTCCAATGGATAAAGGAACATTTACTTGATTTTTAACTTCTATAGGACCATCCTCATTAAGCCATTGAAGTTTATAAGATTTAGGATGGGCTATCGTAGTTCTTTTAAGCTTATCAAACAACCTTTGGCTTTCAAAATTGTTGCAAGATCCACTATCAACAATGAGAGAACATGTTTTCTTAAAAATTTTACATCTAGAGTGGAAAAGGTTTTCTCTTTGTGATTGATCTTGTTCTTTTGGTTGGTTGGTAAGTAACCTTTGAACAATCAATAGGTCACCTTCACATGGTGCTTCCTCACTAGAACTAAGGCCAACATCTTCTTCACTTGAGGATGATGAAGAAGATGAAGTGATTTCCTTACTTAGGATCTTATTACCCCTAATGATCATGGTCTTTTTTGTTGGGCATTGGAAAGCTATGTGTCCCCTCCCTAAGCACTTAAAGCACTTAATGGAACTATTTCTAGGCTCATCGAAAGGTTTTTGCTTTTGTTTTTCTTTGGATTTTTCTAATGGTCTATCCTTTGAATAGGAGGAATGACCTTCCTGATTGAAGTCCTTCCTAGGGTTTGAGGTAGATTCCTTCCTAAGGTTAGGCTTTCTCCTAAGTTGTTGTTCTACCCTCAAACAAAGTTGAACTACTTCATTAAGGTCTCTATAGGGTATTAGTTCAACCTTGTCCCTAATCTCTAGGTTTGAACCACTTTGGAACCTAGCAATGGTGGTTCTCTCCTCTTCCCTAATCTCGACCCTCATCATAAGCAACTCCATTTGTTGCCTATATTCCTCCACACTAAGATTTCTTTATTGGAGTCTTTGGAGCTTGTCCATTAACTCCCTCTCAAAATAAGAAGGAATATGCCTTCTCCTTTAATTGTGATTGAGTAGTTTGCATCATCATTCATTCTTTACATATAAATTTATCTAAGGAATTGAATTTGTAAGAAAGTAATTCGGAAAAGTTTTTTAAAAGGAAAATTTGGAAAACTTAATTCATCCTCCCTCTTAAGTTATACGAGGCTATTTGACGTCATTACTCTCAACATTGTAATATTATTTTTAGGTTCATTTCAATGAGAAAACTATGGTTTTAATTATCCGACTTATTTAAACGTCTCTCTCTTTCACTTTCACTTTCTCTCTCTCTTCTCTTTATTTATTTATTTTTTATTTTTTATTATTTTTTTTATCGGTGTGAATGAGACATTTTGTATCTTTATATTGTATTAAAAAATATTTCAAAATTATTAATATTTATTAAATTAATTGATACTGTGTCTACTCTTTTAATCAATTTAAGCACTAATTCAAGATTTAATACAATAAATATTTTTTATTATCAACGTAAAAATAATATTAAATAAGTATAATATCATCATTTTATAACACTAAAAAATAAAATAAAATATTATTTATAAATTTTCAGCATTTGATATGATATAATATTTAAGTTCTAAACAAAATATAATATAATATTAAGTCTAAATTTTAATAAAATATATCAATATCCATTAATAATAATAAATTTACATTTAGAACAAAAAGTATTAAATTAATATAATATAAATTGTGAAGAATAAAGATATTAAAAATTAAAAATTAACATAAATGATTAAATTATATTTATAAGATAAGTATTTTAAAAAATTATTCAAATTTATTATTTTTTTAAATATCTTTTTTTATAAAAAAATATTTTTAATTAAATTTTAGAAATATAAAAATTTAATTGAATCAATTCACACCGATTTGACTAATTTTTTTTAATTTTTTTTTACCGTTTTGGATCAGTTCTAGACTAATTCTACCAATTTTTGATTGATTCACTACCAAATGATTTTGAGGACCAATTGAATGGGTTGAAAACCAATTTGACCAGTCGATTTGGTCTAATTTTCAAATTTATTATATATATATATATATACCGTTCAATAATTCATGTTCTACATCAAATTTTAATGATCTAACTGTTGAATTTAAAGTTCTTAATACATATATTAAGTCTGAAAATTAAAAAAACAAAAATTATTTGATACTTCGTTTTATTAATTCAAATTGACGGATAATCATAAAAGTATTTTATGCATTGATTTGAATTAATAAAATGATGTATTAAATTATTTTTAATTTTTTAAAAATTTGTAAACTTAATCTATGCATTAAGAACTTTAAATTCAAATGTTGGATCATTGAAATTTGATGTAGAAGATGGATTATTAAGCAATTTAAGTCTAGATAAACTTACTTATAAAATAAACAGATCTCTCCTCATATATATATATATATATATATATATATATATAAAGAGAGGGGGAGGGGAGAGAGAGCATGATCTATTTATTTTATATTAAATTTTAATAATTAAATTGTTAAACGTTTAAGTAAGGTCATAAAAAAATAATTTTTCTAATATGTTCTTAATTAAAATTTGATATAAAAAAAATAAAAAATTTATTGAAAATAACATCTTACTTAAATGAAGAATCTTTAAAACATGATTTCATTCAATATGATATTTTTTTTAATATTTATTCATTGTTTTGTTTGTAAACATATTTATACGATGTCTTAAAGTTGACAATTAAGTATTAATCTACGATTGTGGAGTGTAGTTTTCACTAGTTAAACATTATTTTAACACACAAAAATTGAACACAGGAGAGTACCATATGTAATTGAATCACTATACATGATGTTTATTGTTTTTTATTAGTGATTCAATTATTTATGAATGATTAAAATTAAAATTATTTATTGGTTACATGACTATACTTTAAAAAGTAATGTGCATTTTCTGATTATACTTTGTTTGGTATTGATGAATTATCAATAAATAAATAAAAAATAGGAGGAAATCAACATAATAAATAGGAAATAAAAAGCACGTGCCTTTGGTATTGGAGAAACATGGAGCAAAGAAATTGTACCTATATAAGGGCACATTAGTAATTTTGTCACTTCCATCCTCATCCCACAAGTCCCCATCTTGATAGTCCTCACTTTTGTCTTTTCTTAATCTTCAGTTGATCTTATCCGGAAGATTCAAAATATATTACTCATTCCTTTGATAATAAACGAGGTAGTCTTTAGCCATACCTACCTGAAAAATAGTAAAGAAAAGATACTTGCAAAAGGTACTCTAACACTCAAGTTAGCCTTCAGATTCAAACAAATCAATGCAATCAATCTTGTAACAAACGTAAAAAATAACTTTTTTTTCTTCTCTATACATAATAATTTATACTAATTTTACTGGGCCTAAGCCCACATGATACACTCATTAATGATTATCATACCTTTAGTAATCCCTTAAACTTTATTAATCATCAACATAGACTTAGGAGTCCTAGACTTATCCCTTCTGCCAAGCCCCTCTGGTATAAAAATAAAATGAGGTGTCTTTGATATCAAATAAAAAGTAAAACACATTAATGGATCATAGATGTTTGAACTATAGTAAAAGGTGGTGTTGTATAAAGAAACAATGAGTTACTACTAAATTAGGCATATTAGCAATTGAAGAGATATGTGTCCTTTAAATAGTTTGGGTTGTTTTGAAGACTTAGTACAATAAATTAAATCATATTTCTTTCACACATTTGAGTCTAAAATATACACAAATCCCACTTATTAAACTATAGCAAAAGGTGGTGTTACATATAAAAATAGTAAGCTATTACTAAATTAGGCCTATTAGGAATCAAAAGGAGACATGTGTAATAAATAGTTTTGGTTGTTTTGAAGACTTAGCCAAATAAATCAAAATCATATTTCTTTTACGCATTTGAGCCTAAAACATACACTAACCCAACCTAAACTATAACAAAAGGTGGTGTTGTATATAGAAATAGTGTTTACCACAAAATTAGGCCTATTAACAATCAAATGGAGATGCATCTGTTGTAAACAATTTGAACTGTTTTGAAAGTTTTAACCCAATAAATTAAAATCAAATTTCTTTACACACTTGAGCAGTTGAGCTTAAAACCTACCCAACCTCAACTTTAATTTTTGACATACAAAAATCTAACTTAAACTATATCAAAAGGTAGTTTTGTACATGAAATATAATTGGCTACTACTAAATTAGGCCTATTAGCAATTGAAGGGAAATGTATCTAGTAAATAGTTTGGGTTGTTTTGAAGACTTTGACAATTAAATTAAAATCACACTTTTTTGACACATTTGAACCTAAAACCTAAATAAACTAAGTATGACAAAAAATGTCCGACACCTATTCTTAATGTATAACATAATCTCATATTTGCAAAACTATCATTGAGTGGGTAGAATCAGAAAAAAGAAATGGAATGAAAGATATAATTAGGATGGAAGCATACGACTCGTATATTAGTAGTGGCGATGTAACTAATTGATCACAGTGAGACCATACAACGTCAATCATTTTTGTTTTGTTTTATATTTCCATGCACACGAGGCCTCTAAACTTAGTTGTACATCTATTAATCTTTGTTATTGAAGAAAATGGCTTCAATTAAATTTCGGCTATAATCATTCCGTGTACATTAGATCTCTGACTTAAGGCAACAAAAAACTATCTGGCCTCGAACAGTGAAAGTGACACATTGATAGAAACAGTGTTACTTTGGGAGCAAGAACATTGGTTGAGAGAGTTACATGCGACCAATGAATGATCACTTCAGTTCCTTTCAGATGGCATACACAACATTACTATTGAGATTTAGAACACCAAATTGTTTTGTTAAGGAGTTGGACTTGCAGAAGAAGGAGGTTAAATGAATTTGAATGTCTTTGACACTACTCTTAAGTTGTTCTAACAACTATTCTCGTTAGAACACAGCAATGTTGATTCAATGAGACAATATTGCGCCACCTAATCTCATCACTGATCCACCAATTCCTATATATATAGCCTACCATTTTGACCCATTTCATCAACTCCTACTTCAAACTCCTAGTAATAGTAATAACTAAGAGTTTGAAGATCAACTTGGCACATAGAGATAAAAATATGGGTGTTTCCCTTCTTAAAACCCCATTCTTCCTTTTGTCATTGGTCACCTTTTGCATCATTGAGCATGCTCTGGCGGCTGGCACTACTAGACACTACCATTTCCAAGTACTTCCTCATAAGACTCACTACTACTAGATAGATACTACAGTTTTATTGTTGTTTTGTTTTTCTGTTGGCTTAGCTATGTAAGTAATACATTGAGTTTATATATTGATTGACACACACAGATAAGGCATCAAAATGTGACTAGACTGTGCCACACAAAGAGTATGGTGACAGTGAATGGACAGTTTCCAGGGCCTCGCATTGTAGCAAGGGAGGGAGATCGTCTTCTTATCAAAGTCACCAACCATGTTCCCAACAACATCTCCATCCACTGGTAAATAAATTGCATTATGTTTTGATATTAGAAAAATAATTGTTATGTATATGATTTAAAAATGTGGCATAAACTTGGCATTGTTTGAAATAGGCACGGCATAAGACAGCTTCAATCAGGGTGGGCTGATGGGCCAGCATATGTGACTCAATGCCCAATCCAAAGTGGTCAAAGTTATGTTTACAATTACACAATTATTGGGCAGAGGGGCACACTCTTTTGGCATGCCCACATTTCATGGTTGCGATCAACTCTTTATGGTCCTCTCATCATTCTTCCAAAGCTCAATGCTCAATATCCTTTTGCCAAACCCCACAAGGAAGTTCCTATCATATTTGGTGAGCAAATTTAATTACTAGAAACATGAATGAACCTAGCTTGCTCTATCCTCCATTTCTTAATTTGCATTTTAAAAACTAATCAAGCTTTAACATAATATTATTTTAGGAGAATGGTGGAATGCAGATCCTGAGGCAATCATAAGCCAAGCCCTGCAAACCGGTGGAGGACCAAATGTGTCTGATGCCTACACAATTAATGGACTTCCAGGGCCATTGTACAACTGCTCTCAAAAAGGTTTCAAGTGCTGATCTGATCAAATACAAATGTTTTAGGAATAGTCTTATAAATGTTATATACATTTAAGAGTAAAAGAGGTGATTGGTTTTGACAGACACATTCAAGCTGAAGGTGAAGCCAGGAAAGATTTACCTTCTACGTTTGATCAATGCCGCACTGAATGATGAGCTATTTTTCAGCATTGCAAATCACAGCCTCACAGTGGTTGAAGCAGATGCAGTTTATGTAAAGCCCTTTGTGACCAATACCATCCTCATAACCCCTGGCCAAACTACCAATGTTCTTCTGAAAACCAAGTCTCACTACCCCAATGCCACATTCCTCATGACTGCTAGACCCTATGCTACTGGCCTTGGCACATTTGACAACTCAACCGTGGCTGGCTTATTAGAATACAAAACTCCACCTAATACTCATCATTCGGCTTCCTCTCTTAAGAACCTTCCACTCCTCAAGCCAACTCTCCCTGCACTCAATGACACTTCTTTTGCCACAAAATTCAGCAACAAACTCCGAAGCTTAGCAAGTGCAAAGTTCCCAGCCAATGTACCCCAGAAAGTTGATAGGCACTTTTTCTTCACAATAGGCCTTGGCACAACACCCTGCCAGCAAAACCAAACCTGTCAGGGTCCTAATGGAACAATGTTTTCAGCATCAGTGAACAACGTGTCTTTCATACAACCAACCACTGCTCTTCTTCAAGCACACTTCTTTGGGCAATCCAATGGGGTATACACTCCTGACTTCCCAACCAAACCATTGGTTCCATTCAACTACACTGGCACCCCACCAAACAACACCATGGTGAGCAATGGAACAAAGGTTGTGGTTCTTCCCTTCAACACAAGTGTAGAGCTTGTGATGCAGGACACCAGCATTCTTGGTGCTGAAAGTCACCCTCTCCATCTGCATGGCTTCAACTTCTTTGTTGTTGGTCAAGGTTTTGGCAACTTTGATCCAAATAACGACCCTACAAACTTCAATCTTGTTGATCCTGTTGAAAGGAACACTGTTGGTGTCCCATCTGGGGGATGGGTTGCTATCAGATTCCTAGCAGATAATCCAGGTTGGTTAAATTGATAAATAGTTTATTCACATGATCAAATTTACATTCTAGTTAAAAAAATATTTTGGTTAGTTTTGTTAAGTTAGAAAAAACATGCAAACTTAATAATTGTGTGTACAGGGGTATGGTTCATGCATTGTCACTTGGAAGTGCACACAAGCTGGGGTCTTAAGATGGCATGGGTGGTGTTGGATGGAAAGCTCCCTAATCAGAAGCTGTTCCCTCCGCCAGCTGATCTTCCCAAGTGTTAATAAAACCTCAAACTAGTTGCTTTATTTTGTTTCAATATTCTGGTTCTTTTTTGTTTCAACTATGAGCAACTGTTTCTAACCAGTTGCTTTCATTTTTTTTTTCTTTTTTATTTTTTCATTTTTGGGTGAAAGAGAGTTGAGGCTTGGCTTCAGGTTGAGGGGGGGTTTTTTTCCTTCTTTCGATCAGAAATTTATTTATAGATGGCGCCTTCTCTACAAAATTGTAATTCATTTATTTGAATGAAAATTCTTCATGAAATCCTTATTGTACATGTGGATCATAGCAGGTAGAGTATAACCTTTAGAAAAAAAACAAGCAGGTACAGTATAATTAAAGGTGGGTGAATATGTCTCTAGCAAAGTCAAGGAGAGGAAGAAATCGTATAAGAAGAAAAATGCACATAATTCAAGCATAGTATTTGAAAATGTTAGGGTTATTAGATTTGATTGAGAGGGATATATCTCAAGGAGAGTTATATTATAAATTTCTTTTATCGGTTATTTGCACACAATTTTACAATAATAAAATATTATTGACTTTGTGTTTATACATTTATGATATTATTTTTCTTCATCATCCAAAAAAATCCTTTACTAATAAAATATATATATGGATAGAAATCTATTTACTATTTCTGTTTGCTCATCTGTCGGTGGTTGATAAGAAGTAGAAAATAGAAGTTGAGTTCCTAGTCTTTCCCAAAGTGTTTTCAAAAATAACTAAGGAACTTAACATCCCCATCTGAAAATATTGTTTTAAGGAATCCATGTTATCTAACAACTTCTTTAAAGAAGAGTCTTGAGATATGGCTAGCATTATCTACCTTGTGGCATGGAATAAAGTGAGCCATTTTTGAAAATCAGTCCACTACCACAAAGATAGAATCATGTACCCTTTAGGTTCTTAGGAGACCAAGTATAAAATCCATGCTTATGTCAACCCAAGGGGTGCTAGCTATGGGTAGAGGTGTGTAGAGTCCATGAGGCATAACTTTAGATTTAGCTTGTAAACAAGCTATGCATTTAGAGCAATACCTTTGGACACCTACTCTCATGTGTGGCCAATAAAATCTTTCTTTTATAAAACTTAGAGTTTTATCAACTCCAAAATGGCCAATGAGACCTCCCTCATGAATTTCCTTAATTAAAATTTTTCAAATGGATCCTTTGGGTATTCATATTGTACCCATTTTAAATAAATACCCATCACTAATATAAAATCCATAAAAGGCTTTTTTAAGACATTTTTCATTATTGGATTGAAAATCTAGATCTTGTTCATACAATTCCTTAATCTTATCAAATCTAAGAATTTGGGAACTTAAAGTTGTAAGTAATGTGTATCTTCTTGAAAGTTCATAAGCCACCAAATTACTTTTCCCTTTCTTGTATTTAATAACATATGAGAATTGCTCTAAATATTCTACCCACTTAACATGCCTTTTGTTTAACTTACCTTGGTCCCTCAAATACTTAAGTGACTCATGATCAGTGTGTATGATAAAATCTTTAGTCACTAAGTAATGTTCCCAAGTTTTGAGGGCTCGAATTAGAGCATAAAACTCTTTATCATAGGTGGGATAATTCAAGGTGGGACCACTAAGTTTTTCACTAAAGTATGCAATGGGGTGGCCTCTTTGAAGTAAAACCACACCTATGTCTATGCCACTTGCATCACATTCTCGCTCAAAAGTTTGAGAAAAGTTTGGAAGAGCTAGAACGGGTGCATGTGTGAGTTGGTCCTTTAAGTTATGAAAAACCTTTTCTTGCTTCTCCCCCCATATAAAAGGCACATCGTTCTTGACTAACTCATTAAGTGGAGATGCAATAGTGGAGAAGTCCTTAACAAACCTCCTATAGAAGCTTGCTAAGCCATGGAAACTCCTAATTTCTCCCACACTCTTAGGGGTAGGCCAATCTTGAATGGCCTTGACTTTTTCGAGGTCAAACTTAACCCCTTCTTTGCCAACTATAAAACCTAAGAAGTTCACATTTTCTTGGAAAAAGGTGCACTTCTCTAAGCTATCATAAAGATGTTTTTCCCTAAGAATGAGTAAGACATTTCTAAGGTGTTGTAGATGGTCCTTAAGGCTTTTACTTTAGATAAGGATATCATCAAAATACATAACTACAAACCTACCTATACAATCCCTTAAGATATGTTTAATTAATCTCATAAATGTGCTAAGAGCATTGGTCAGGCCAAAAGGGATGACTAACCACTCATATAATTCAAACTTGGTCTTAAAAGCAGTTTCCATTCATCTCTTTCTTTAATCATTATTTGGTGTTAACCACTTTTAAGATCAACTTTAGAAAATATGAGTGCTCCATGCAACTCATCTAACATGTCATCTAATCTAGGGATTGAATGCCTATATTTTATAGTAATATTATTAATGGCTCTACATTCTGTACACATTCTCCAAGTTCCATCCTTCGTTGGAACTAGAAGAATAGGTACAACATAAGGGCTTAGGCTCTTTTGCAACCATCCCTTCTTCCTCAAGTTTTCAACTTGGGTCTCAATATCTTTTATTTCTTGAGGGTTGGTCCTATAGGCTGGCCTATTGGGTAGGCTAGCCCCGAGAACCAAATCAATTTGATGTTTGATTCCCCTTAAAGGAGGAAGTCGACTTGGAACTTCTTTAGGGAATAGTTCATCAAATTCCTTTAAAAGAGTTTGAACCCCCTTAGGTAGAGACTCAAGTTCAAAACTTGTGACAGCAAGTGTCTCTTTAATATAGAGAAGGTAAAGAGGTTGTTCAACTAGAATACATTGTTTTATTAAATGGTTTATTGAAAATTGACTTCTAGGAACAACTTCCTTGGAAGGGACACTACCTTCCAACTCTATAACCTTCTTTTCCTCCTTTTCAAGACATAGGGGGTTTTTTTTCTACTTTTTTTCTTCCTCAAATTTATTTTTCATAAATATTTGATCCTCTAACACTTGTTATGGTGTAAGAGGAGTCAAACTATGTTTCTTGCCTGGATGGACTAGACGAATTTTATTGGTGACACCATCATGAATGACTTTCCTATCATGTTGCCAAGGTCTACCAAGTAAAATATGGCTTGCATCCATTGGAATTACATCACATAAAACTTCATCTTTATATTTTCCAATGGATAAAGGAACATTTACTTGATTTTTAACTTCTATAGGACCATCCTCATTAAGCCATTGAAGTTTATAAGATTTAGGATGGGCTATCGTAGTTCTTTTAAGCTTATCAAACAACCTTTGGCTTTCAAAATTGTTGCAAGATCCACTATCAACAATGAGAGAACATGTTTTCTTAAAAATTTTACATCTAGAGTGGAAAAGGTTTTCTCTTTGTGATTGATCTTGTTCTTTTGGTTGGTTGGTAAGTAACCTTTGAACAATCAATAGGTCACCTTCACATGGTGCTTCCTCACTAGAACTAAGGCCAACATCTTCTTCACTTGAGGATGATGAAGAAGATGAAGTGATTTCCTTACTTATCTGTCGGTGGTTGATAAGAAGTAGAAAATAGAAGTTGAGTTCCTAGTCTTTCCCAAAGTGTTTTCAAAAATAACTAAGGAACTTAACATCCCCATCTGAAATGTGTACAACTTTATTTGTATTCCAATTCAAAAGACTTAATGTAATAAAAATTTAAATTAAATTGTATTCTATCTGGGTTTAAAATAAATATTTGGAAAACTGGTTGTAAGAATTTAAAAAACTAAATTTAAAGGAAATGATATAATAGATATTTTGAGGTTTTTTTTTTATAAATAAAACTACATATATTTTAATAGATAAAAGCTTTGGGGTATGATTTTACTATACCATTCTCACATATACCGGACAATCAACTATAAAGTTTAATTCAAGTTATCTCAATCAATTTTTTAGGTGTGAAAGTATAAGTTTTTTTTAGTTAATCTCTCAATTAAAAAAGATTAACCAAAAGACTTGTATTAAGATAAAAGGTTTAACAAGTTAGTTAATAAACCTTACTATTTCGGGCTATAAATTATGTTAGATCTTTCTTCCATTCATGGATTTGAAAGCGTTTTCCTACGCAACTTAATCCAAAGAATTGTATTTAATTAAGGTGATTAGCATTGCAAATATGCCTAAATATTCTTGGTTTTAAAAGAAAATAATAAATTAGTTTTGTTAGAATCTTTTATTTGTGTTTCAAATATTATAATTTAATGTATTTCTATTATTTTAGGATTTGTTTTTTTATTTTTATAATAGAATAATATCAATATTTGACACTAGTATATATTATAATTTTTCTCTCTATATAGAGAGTTCATGAATAAAATTAGATTATGTTCATCTTGACAAATATATCTTTATAAAATCCAAATACAAAATAACACATCATTGATGTATATCAAGAGTCAAGGTTCTTACAAAATGTCAAGATGGAAGTCAAAGCAAACTTTTCACAAGTTTTCTCTCTTATATTTGATAAAGAAAATTACAATATTTAGATGGTGAGAATGGAGACATACTTAAAGGTTTTAGATCTCTAGGAAGTTATTGTGAGACCCCCTTTTTCCTTTTCCTTTTCTATCCCTGACTCTCTTTGCTTACTCACTCTCAATTCCCTTCACTCACACTCTCTTTACCCTCTTCTTCTCACTTCACTGATTTCACTTCCGCTATTTGGGTTCAAGGTGGTGTTGTTGAGTAGGTGAATCAGAGCTCTTCTTCTTCTGTTCAGTTGCTCAAGTTGATCTTTTCCGTTCAAGCTCCATTCCTCCTCCATTTTCTTCTCTGTTCTCCTTCGCGGAAGCTCGGATTCTCGCCGCGAGGTAAGGGAAGCTAGGTCTTTGGCTGTTTGTGTTGGAAATGAGTTCATAAACTCATTGAGTGGCTGATTTTCTGATGATTGATGGCTGTTTTGGATCAAATTTCGTTTTCGGGGTCTTGAGTGAAAAATTGGGTTTTTCTTTGTTTGGTGTTGCATGCTGAAGATGTTGGGGTTTTTGGGGTTATTGATGGAAATGTGGCATTTTGGCTGGGTTGCCTGTGCTTGGGACATGGATTTCGTGCAGGTTTTGAAGGATTTTTGAAAGTTGGTGAGTTGCTGTTGATGATCGTGCTGAGCGTTGTTCTTCGCGCCGGGCGCACGACCACCAGGGGACTCCATTTGGCCAAGC